CTTTATAATAATTTACTAATTTATTAAAGTAACAAGTTTTTAACTTGTTTCTTGAAAACCTATTTTAATTATTTCATTTTTATTTTATTTTAAAAGTTTTTCAACTTTCTTCGTTGTTTTTTTTTTATAGTTGCGTTGCACCTGATTCTTAATCTGTTTGTTGTTTTCGGATTAATTTTTGAAAATAAAAATAATTTGTGTGTGTGTGTGTGATTGTGACAAACATTAATAATATATATAATTATATATACGGAAAAACTGTTGTTATGTATAAATACATATAAGGATTATTTATATATATACAAAAATTATATATAAAATATCCTTTCAACTATCCACCAACTTAATAACCAAATTTGTTATCCAACCACAACACTTATACGAAGCATAAGCTTCAAATCCAATATTCAGTCATCTAATTAGATCCTCAACATTCCAAAATGTCCGCCAACGAATTGTATGAAACATCGTCCATTTCACCTTCTTTAAACCCAATAGACCTGCTTGAAAATTGGCCGGGTCCTGGAAAAGGCAAGGCTGCTTGATTCGCTCTCTAGCTACAACAGTCAAATTACTGCTTGAAAAAGTAGCAGCCCTCGAAAAAACTAACACTAACTTGCAAATTCAACTTACTAACTGCCAACCACCGGCAGTTTATCCTTCCGTTTCTCAACCAATCCTGAAATCTTTTGCTTCGCAACTTACAAAACCCGGATCAGCCACACACAATGCCATCTTAAATGCCGTGAACATAAACGCCAAGCTTCAACAGTCAAAAGCTAAGAGAGACATAATCACCGGAATTCCCAACGCAGCCAGTAACGATGCTTCCGTCGTCGATCAATCGGTAAAGGATATATTACAATACGTAGATTATACGAATGCGTATTATATTATAATACGCATTCCTGCCGCTATTTCTAACAAAAATAACAAATCGCCGCAAAACACTAGCATATCTACTTCTTCTACTGTCACTGCCTCCACTCAACCAGCTCCACCGTCTCTTATCATCGAATTCGAAACCAATGAAGCTCGCAACGGTCTTCTAGCAATCGCCAAAAATCTTGCCACCAATGAATCATACAAAAGTGTCTTCATACGGCCAGACAGAACTCCTTCAGAGCAAGATCTTTTTAACAAGTCAAATGCATCGACGTAAGCAAAAATGTCAACATCAATGGCTTGGAAATACACCCGTTCATCAACTGGAAAGGAGCGCTCGCGGCGGCCCAAACCAGCCAATGAGAAGTCGCAACATTCAACTCATGACCGTTTCCATTTAATTAATAATTTGTCTTCTCCCACTTTACAAAGCAATCCTTCTAAATTGTTACTAAACTGCTTCTATGCAAACGCCACATCTCTAAATCCTAGTAAACTCACCGAACTTGAATTAGCAACGTTTCTCTATGATTATGACACCATTTTTATCACTGAAACATGGTTTGACGAATCCTCAGCACCAGCTATTCCTAACTACAATCTCTTTAGAAAAGATCGCTCTAGTCGTGGAGGAGGAGTAGCCATATATGTCAAGAACAGCATTATTGCCAACGAAATTGACTACTCTCAACTTCACATCGGTTTCCAATGCATTTTCTCAGAACAGATCTGGCTCGAACTTAAACTCCCACAAGAATCTCTCCTAATCGGCTGCATCTATCGCCCACCTAACAATAATGTTCTGGCCTACCAACAATGTTCTGGCGAAATAGTAAAAGCTATCTCCGGCCGTAGAAAACAAAAAGTTTAATGGTCTTATAATGACCGGTGACTTCAACTTTCCCGACGTCATATGGCACGACGACTGGACCAATACCACCGGCGCTGAAACTAGTTTTGGCACTAAATTTGCCGAAACCATTTTTGACCTACATCTACACCAGCACGTTATCAATCCCACCTTCATCCAAGCCAACGGTCTGTTCAAAAATACACTAGACCTTGTAATTACCGAAACAACCGAACGATTAAGCCATATTACTATCGGTCCTCCTCGCAAGGTCACTGCACTATGACATGGCAACACCAGCTAGCCAAAAACGTCTGCAACTCTCCCCGTTTTAACATCTCAAAATTTATATATAGGAAAGATAATTACGCAAATCTAAACGAGAAACTCTCCCGAGTCGATTGAGTTAGTTTATTTAAAGACCGATATGCCGACGAATGTTATCAAATCTTCTGCTACAACTATATCAAATTATGTGACAAATTAATTCCGCGTGTCACCTCCAAACCGGCCAAACACAGGCAGCCTTGGCTAACCAGCGAACTTTTTTTACTAATTAAAGGTAAGAAAAAACTTTGGTACCTCAACCGCAACAGCAAATGGCGAATCATTCCTCTAGAGTATAACCAAACTCGAAACCTTGTCAAAAAAGCTTCCTGTACTGCAATTAGAGCATTTGAACACAGATTAGCTTGCGACAAATGGAACCCTAAGCGTCTATGCGCTTATGTAAACAACAAACGCGCCGTCAGTAACCAGATAACTTCTATGTGCTCACCCGCTGGGGAAATAAGTAGCGACCACGCATCCATAGCCAAATATACTTAACAAGCCAGTTCCAGTCAGTATTCACAATCGAACCATCAGTGCAACAACTACCTGCCTTTGTTAAACGTACAACCGCTTTAATCTCCTCCGTCATCTTCAGCTATGATTCCGTTCACAAACACCTATCTGCTCTCAACGCGCGGATGCGGCGGCTACCCCGCTCGCCATCATTTTTCAGAAATCGATGGATCAAGGTGTAGTTCCAAAAGCGCGGCTCTCGGCAAACGTGACGCCACTGTTCAAAAAAGGCTCCAGACTCGACCCAGAAAACTATAGGCCTATCTCCATTACCTCAGTACCATGCAAAATAATGGAAACAATTGTTAAAGAAAAGATCATCCAGCACCTTGTAGCTCATAAACTTATTGCCGATTGCCAGCACGGCTTCGTCAATATAAAAGCCTGCGTCACGAATCTGCTTGAGGCCATGGACTTTCTGACCTACAACGTTTCTTGCAAGCTTCCAGTAGATGTTCTTTTTCTTGACTTCGCCAAAGCCTTCGATAAAGTCCCTCACAGAAGATTACTTCAAAAACTTGAATCCTACGGAATCAAAGGTTAACTGGATAAAAGCTTTCCTTTCAAATAGATCACAGCGTGTCATATTAGGTAATACGTCATCCACCTGGGTAAAGGTTACCAGTGGCGTTCTGCAAGGTTCAGTGCTAGGTCCTACGCTGTTCATAATATTTATTAATGACTTACCCAAACACATCAGTAGCAAAAACTTATGTAAAATGTATGCAGACGATACTAAAATCCTGAGTGTCGTCAAAACCACTGAAGACAAAACTCGTCTGCAATCCGATATAGATAGCGCTGTTACCTGGACTCGAACCTGGTTAATGGAACTCAACATCAAGAAATGCAAAGTCATGCATTTCAGTAAGTACAATGTTTCCCCACACATTTATTTAATGAACGAGTACGACGCTAACGGTAGAGTCACTAGAACAGTAATCGAGTCTTCAACATCCAAAAAAGATCTAGGCGTTCAAATTTCCAACGACTTAAAATATGAGAGGCAAGCACAAATAGCCGCTGCCAAGGCTAATAAAGTCCTCGGATATTGAAAAACACGTTTATAAGCAGAGATACCAAAATATGGAAAAAACTTTACACCACTTATATACGCCCACATTTCGAGTTTGCAGTTACAGCCTGGTGCCCACATTTTGAAGAAGACATAAATGTCATAATACGTGTTCAGCATTGGGTTACCAAAGTACCGCACGAAATAAAGCGCTTCGATTACGAGACAAGATGCATCAAACTCGGTCTCACCTCTCTATTAAATAGATGTTCACGCGGCGACCTCATTCAAAAATATAAATTCGAAAATAGTATCGACTCAATTAGCTGGCATATAGATCCACCCAACATCCCACCTAGCTACGGTCATCGCAAGCGCTTTCATCGTGAAATGGACAACAACTGCCTCGTTCGCTATAATTCCTTCAACAACCGCGTCGCTCACCCATGGAACGCATTACCTAACGTAGTAGTCAGTGCTACCAGTGTCAATCGCTTCAAAGCAAAATTCGATCAGCTTTAATAATTACTACTATATATATATATATATATATATATATATATATATATATATATATATATATATATATATATATATATATATATATATATATATATATATATATATATATATATATATATATATATATATATATATATATATATATATATATATATATATATATATATATATATATATATATATATATATATATATATATATATATATATATATATATATATATATATATATATATATATATATATATATTGATCCTATTGTTCATGTTAAGCTTTATAACAAAATTATATTCTGTCGTATATTAGATGAAATTTAACATGCTTTAATCCTTTCTTTCTTCACATTTTGTTCTCTACCTCTATAAATATCATATTCGTCCTAGTATTGAAAACTGTTGTCATAATTTTAATTTAAATAATTGGCTAACTCCCAATAAAATATATTAGTTAAAATTGTTATTTTTGTAACACCTTTTATTTACTTTAGTAAGTTATTATTTTAAAGTATAAAATTTAGAAATATTATTTAAAAACATATAGTTATATTTTTTTTTCGTAATTCTTTGCGAAAAATAAGGACTTCAAAACTATCACTCGTTTACCCCACTCCTTTTAGCTTAAGATAAGAAAGTGAATTTTTTTTTATAAAATCCATATCTATGGAGGTTCTTAATACCCTCACTTAAATTAACTACTGCTTTATTTATTAGTAGCAAAAAGCAAATTCGGTTTAAAAGACTTCAAACCTGGCGGTCATTGTGTATAATGTTGAATATAGGTCACATTTGACCGAATTAAAATTGATTCCATAATTGAGATAAATTATCATAAAAAAACAAAAATTAAAAAGAATTTTTATTTTGAATCAAGATAAATACTTCAATAAAGTTTTTTCTTCAAAAACTAGTTTTTTAGATTAATTTGAAAAACACAACACCAACAAGGCATTCATTTAAAAACTTCGCCATTCGCTCACTTTTTAAACAAAGCTGAGAACAACTTGGTTTTGTAGCAAAACGACCAGACCTTTGAAAAATAATTGAAAATATTGTTTAAACTTGATACTCATTTATAATACACTATGAAACATCATTTTAAAAGTTAGTGAAACGGCAGAATATAAATAAACGTTTAACACAAAGCTTGTTTTGTGGAGAACTCACATACAAATGCAAACATACATACATACATACATACATACATACATACATACATACATACATACATACATACATACATACATACATACATACATACAAACAAAAAGTAATAAATTCGAAAAAGCAAAACATTAAAAAATGTTCTCTTTAAGGGAATCTGATAAAATCTTTTTTGCATAAAATTAATATAAATTTTTTTTTAATTAACGAATTTTATGTATAATTTTATGTTAGGGTTAGGGTTAGGGTCAGGGTTAGGGTTAGGGTTAGGGTTATAATAAATATAATATATATAAATAATAAATAATAACAAAATAAAAACAGGTAAAAGCAAAAGGGTTATAATAAATATAATATATATAAATAATAAATAATAACATAATAAATAACTTGAAAGCTTTATTTCGGCAATATCTCCTTAATTTTGATTTATAGTATTTATATGCTATAAATGTTTTATAAAGTTTAAAAAGTCTTTGGTTTATAAACAGATTAAAAGATGATAAAGCATGCTAAAGTGGTTGAGGTGCTTTGTGTAGCTTAAAATCTTTTTGCTTATAAACTTAATTTTTTTTTTGTTTTTCCTAATTTTCTCGAATAAAAAATAAAATATTTTAAAAATACTATGAATATTATACGCATAACAAATATACAAACATACTATAACAAACAAAAGAGAAAGAATTTTAAAAAACTTTTTAAAATTTTTAAAAACATGAAAACACCATTGAAAACTTTTTGCACATAAGCACACTAGGCCAGGCGGAGTTTGACAAAAAAAAATTTATAAAAAACATGTTAACTTTATTTCTTCACAAATTTAAAACTAATTTTATGCGTTGCACTTTTTTAAGAAAATTTTGAAATATATTTATAGCGGACTTTAAAACCGCGCACCCCAAACTCGGTAAACAACGAAAATTTTTTGAAACTCTTTTTGTTTGTTCTAAATCTTAAAAAAAAGAAAGTATTTTGAGATTTTTTTATTTCGTCTATTACAGTGCCTGTATCATTTTGCATTCGGTGTAAATAATATTAATATGTTTTATAATTAGTCTAACTATGTTTATATTACTTATTAGCCAACAGAAATAAAATTTTTCTGATTATTTTTGCTTAAAAGTACCATTAAAATTTCGAAATTTTGCCAAGTTCGTCGTTTTGCGCGTACATATAAAAACCATAGCAGCCTTGGATTATTATATTGAATGATAAAATATAAAAAATTTAATCGGTGTTCATATTCTTTTTACAGAACGTATTTATCTTTAATATTTCAAAAAGTTATGAAAGTTTTAGTAACACCCCTTAAGTAATTATTTTCAAAAAATAACAAGAAGCCGTATGTCCACTCTGAAACAGCCGTGTAGAATTAGACGAATGTTGCAAATGGGTATATCGTATATCAGATAAAGAGAATAAAATTGATATTTCTAATGTTTCTAATAAGAAAGTAAATGAAATTATTAGTATTTAAGATGACCTTGCAAAATGGGCTACAAATTTTAATGTTTCTCATTTTAATATTTCTCACTTTATCAAGACTTTTAAAAAATTTTGCAAAAAAATGGTTTAAATGTTCCAATGGACGCGAGAACAGTTTTGTATTCAAAAAGACAGATTAAAACTAAAACAGTGGTAGGAGGGGAGTATTGTTATTTTGGAATAAAGTACTGTTTGTCAATATTGACTAATAAATCTCAACAGTTATTATAAGTCAACCAACATTGCATGTAAACATTGATGGTATTCCTTTATTCAATAGTTCAAAAGCTGCTTTTTGGCATATTTTAGGATGTTTTATTGAACTAAATGCATCAGTTTTTCCTATTGCACTTTATTGTAGCAATAAAAAACCTACTTCCGTTGAAGAGTATTTAAAAGATTTTGTATTAGAAATAAAAAAATTAGAATCTTCACAGTTTTTTAAATCACATAGTTGAAAAATAAAACTGGGTGCTGTGATATGCTCCTGCTCAAGCATTTCTAAAATGCATTAACAGTTTAGTTGTTGTGTCTAAAATGCATTAAGTCATAACAGTTATAGTTGTTGTGAGCGTTGCACACAGCAGGGAGAGTGGTGTCATAAAATAATACTGCCAGATCTGTTTGTTTCTCTCAGGACTGACTCTAGTTTTTCAAAGAAGTGATCCACCCCCAGGGCCTGTTTGAGGAAAAATATTTGGGCGGGGGAAAATATTATATTGCAATGATCCACAAACAGATTGGATTATATATCATGATAGAATCCTTAGCACTGCAGGTAAAACTTTTACATTTTAAGTTTGATGCTTTAAATTTAAAGTGGGTTTATTTTTTATGTAAATAAACTTAACAAAATAATTAATTCTTTTAATTTATATAAAAACAAGTTATTAATTTGATTAAGTAAATTTAATTAAGTCTTATTTCTTAGAAAATGAATTCGAAGCTCGTCAAAAGTCTATTAATGCACAATTTTCACCAAATATAGATGGTAAAAAGGTTGGCAAAAGAAAAAGGAGTAGGTATGCTTATCTTGTGTTTATGTATGTTAATTTAAATTTTTTAAATGTTTAATTGTTTTTATTGTTCATAGACCACATAGGTATGGTGAGAATCTTGATGACAAAATTGATAATGACTACCACTCTGAATCTTCAGAAGACGAAAGTTATATAACAATAACATATATTATAACTATTATGCACGAATAGCCAATATAAATTGGAAAAAGAGTCTCTGCTGGATATAACTGAATAATAAACTGATAAAATAGCTGAAATCCAAATCAAGGAAAACAGGTTAAGAATGAGGAAAAAGTCATTGACATCTGGTTTAATATTGTGGCAGACACCTAATGTATTTAGCTCTTAGATTTCTATTTATTAATGATGCTTTAGTTAATAATACAACATTTTATTATGATTTTAGGTCAGACCCCATCAAATAATGTTGTTATAAAACTTTTAAGTAAAATTCTTGCATCATTGGAAGAGGTTAAGCAAACTCAAAAGTTACATTATGCAATGATAACTTCTCTGCAAAAACAGCAGAGTGTAGATTCCGGAATTACTATACAACAACTACCTGCCGGTTTTACTTTACCATTCATTTGCTGATGTTGATAATGCTAAAGTATTGCTGAAAGACGAATCAGTTCAAAAAATTTTGGTTCTTTTTTTTACTATATACTTTTCTTTTGAGATTTATGTTCTATTTTTAGATTTTTTTAAGCGAGAATTACGAGGGTGTACCTCCATTTTTTAGTATTTCAGCGACTTTCTGCCAGAAAGTCAGACTAATTATTTGAATTTTATTGAAAGTTCTATTATTTTTATGATTTTATGATTTAGTTGAAATTTTTTTGATGAAAAACAGAAAACACTCAATTTGAACATACAGCGATTTTTTTTTCATACATTTTACATATCATCAATTCTTAGCTATGTAAAATGTATGTTTAAATACATTAAATAAAAATGCTACAGTTTTAAATACGTATAATTAACTATTAACTTTAGTTTTGTCACTTATTGATAATATATTGGTTGTCTTTTAGAAAAAAGTTTTTATCGAAAATGGAGGAAGTGATATAGGTGATTTCATTAAATGAAATATAAAGTTGCTGTTTAACTCAGCACTGGCGAAGCAATACAATTTAACAGGTGCATCACGTCAAAGCAAACGTGGGTTTAACAAGTTGATAATGTTTCAGTTACATTTTGGTAATTAAAATTTTTTTGGTGGTTCACTAACTACTAGCAGTTGTTTATATATATATATATATATATATATATATATATATATATATATATATATATATATATATATATATATATATATATATATATATATATATATATATATAAAATAATAATTGTATTGATAAATACCGGTATAGAGTGCTCAATACAGAGTAGAGCAAATTATATTTTTTAAAAACTAAATAATAACATCTGGTAGTTAAAGAAACATGACTCCGAGTTTTACGCCAATGGCGATCATCAGATATTTCAAATAATCTTAACGACAAAAAAAAATTAATTACAAAAATACTTGTTTATAAAAAATTTGTTTTTCATGGCGACATTTTGATACCAGCTCATTTCTTTTGTTTAGTAATTTCATTTTTGATGTTATTATGTGATATTTTTCAGTTAGACAAAGGTTGCATGATTTTCCCCCTGGTTTAAACGGTTGCGCTTTGCCGATAATTTTCCATGTAATAATAAGATTAGTATATCCCTTTTTTAATTTTTTTAATATAAACTTGAAAAGCTCTGTTGAATTTGCTTTGCTTTCGTATTGAAATGAGTTTTTATGCTTGTACCAACAGTCTTTAAAAGTATTCTCTGTTAGTCCAATAAAATTGAATCCGTTATCTTGTCGTAAAGTTTTTACATAACAGCAGTATATTTTATTTTTTTTTAGATACATTTTTCATTTGGGTTGACTGATTGGTTCCCCTCCGGAAACCAATGCCAAAAATTGTTGAGATAACCTAGTGGGACCCGATTGCCATACCAATCGGGTCCCAATGTTTACCCAATAGGGTGTGTTACCTAAGAAGCTTTAAAGCTGAAAACATTTTGAAGAACCCCCTTTAACACTTAAAGGGGGTTTTAATATTTGATATTGATGTAACTTAAAATTGCCAAAAAATTAGTTGATAAATTCTGTTAAATTTGATAAAATGAGGGTGTAAAAATATGTTGATTCTTAAATTTAAGAACTGACTACCTGTAATAACTCTACCGCACTCCCCCACAGTGGTCCAGAATAGTCAATTTCGAGACATAATTATTAACCAAATTAATATTAGTACTGTATTTACCAAATTTAGCTAGAGTACCAAAATGAGGTCTGCGCTTCTTATAAAAACGGTAATTTTTGCATTTAGTTGCTATGGATACTAACAACAACCTGTTTCTGGTACTTTTTCATTTGCGCTACGCACACTATATTTGACACGTGTATTTTTTAGTGATTTTTTATATTTGGTTACTATGGTTACTTAAATATGCAGAGCAAAGTTCGGTGGTATTTTAGGTGAGAAAAATTAGGTATAAGAGCTCTACCGGACTCCCCCTCGTATGGAAATGACAAACATCAAAGTTGTCACTTAAGTTAGGGTTATTTTTCGATTTTATATTTTCACTTATTTTCATTCGCGTTATATTGTTTATTTTTTTCTAGCTGTATAATGAAATTATTTAAAATATAAAAATGAAGAGTCTTCCGTTATAAAGCAACGCAATTTTATAAATTTGATGGTTCAACTAGTCAAAGATTTAGAAAAAAAAATGCAAATCAGAAAGCAACTCTCATAATTTATTAATTGTAAATTCTTTAACTAAATCTGTGTTGATTAATAAAGAGTAAACTTAAAAATAAAAAATTTTGATTCCAACCATCAATTTTTTTGAAGGGCGAAAAATATCCTTTACCAACCATTACAAAATCATGGTTGATGAAAAAGTGCGCACTGCCTTATCTAACGTAACTGACTCTAGTCAGTCATGTTTTAGTGTTTGTTACCCCTCAGAAATGAATGAAATTAAAATTGTTATTAAAAAAGCCATTCCACTTATATTCTTCATTATGGTTTTTCAAGCTTGCATGCTTGGATAAGATGCTTGTAATGCTAATTGCACATAAAATAAAAATAAGATATTTTGAAGCAAAGAATTCAGTAACGGAGCAAAAGAGTTTGATTCAGAAAAGCTTCTTGGATAAACTTTGATTGATAGTGGATCAATTAAAAGCAGGTGGTAGTGGGAACTTTTAGTGGAAAAAATGATATTGCTTATTGGCCTTATGTCAGAGGAAACTCAAGAGGCTTGTAACAACAATTTTAAGAGTTATCGCCAAGACCAGGCATGAAAAAAAAGTCTATCAAAATGCAATAAAATTATTGTTGTGGACTTCTAATCCATTTCTTCCTGATGCGTTTAAGAAAAATAGCAGTAAAAAAAAAAAGCTTTTCCTTTTCTTTTTATTAAGTTTTAAAACGTTTATGTTGTCCTGATATATAAATAAGTTATGAGCTCAGTTTGTTTTATTTTATTTTAAATTATGTATAGTTTTACTGCATTTAGGGCTGTTAGGAAATAAGTAATAATTTATGTGTAAAAAAACTGATTGTTAAATTAATATATAATTTAATTAAATATATTGCTACGGTTAAATAGTTTGGTTATGCAAAATTAGTAAACCATAGGGGATATATCACCTAATTTTGCTCTGCATAATTAAGTAACCATAGTAACCAAATATAAAAAATTACTTTTATAAGAAGCAAAAACCTTATATTAATACACATGTCAAATATAGTGTACGTAGCACAAATAGCAAAATTAGGTATCCATAGAAACTAAATATAAAAATTATCTTCTTCATAAAAAGCGCAGACCTCATTTTGGTACTCTAACTAAATTTGGTAAATATTAATTTTAAATGAGTTAATAATTTTGTCTCAAAATTGACTATTTTGGTCCATTGTGATATGTCATGATAGAGATAAAGGTAAACTAGTTTTAAGCACACAAAGTTTATGTGCTTATAATTAATTTATTATTGTTTATGATAAACAACTTACGTTATTAATGTGCTTAAGTAATTTGCTTGCGCGTTTAACATGCAGAACTCGTTTAACAGAGACAACTTTCTTTCTTATAAAAAAAAGATTTTATATGCCAACTTTAACTTTCTTTAAAATTAACGGGGCAAGAGACATAAAAAGCAGCGGATGGTCTGAAAAAAAATAAATAGAAACTTATTTGAGAAAAAAATGATCAAGCCCCTTACCGCTTTTTTTTTTTGTCCTTTGTTTTTGTAACTCAAAAAAAAGTTTTTTTTATTTTGCTCTTTTTTAAAATTTATTGAAATAAAGCAAATATATAAATAATAAAACTCATTTTTTAAACAACTTTGGCTGTAAAGACATTTTAGAATAATGATGGGCCTAAAATAATTTTATTAAAGTTTAAGTTGGCTAAAACTTCTTTCTTTTGATAATGCTAATGCTGGTAATGTATGGATCGTCCTAATTTCTTATGGAGGAAATGCAGCCATCTACTCAAACAACAAACGTGATATTAACAATATCATCTATAATAAAAAGTTATATAAATATAACTATAGCAATATAAAGACACTTTTTTTTACTAGGTTTATCATCTAGTAATAAAAAGTCTTTATATTGCTATAGAAACATGAGTTAAGTTAATAAAGGCAAAACAAAAATCATTATAAAGTTAGATGTTAGATTATTAAATTATTAAATTAAATTGTTAAAGTAAAAAATTTATCCAGCTAACAGAAACGAATGCGGAAAACAGTGAAAATCAAATTTTAAAAAAATAGTGAATTAAAAATGACACATTTTTCAAAAGAAATTCTATAAATATTAAAAAAATATATATTCTACAAATTTTATAGCAAAATATTTATGGAAAAAACTAATTCCTTTTAATATCGGTATGATAAGCGTTGATAAGGGGTCGTCCATAAATTACGTCACGTTAAAAGGAGGAGGGGGGTTGGTAGTTTTGTGACGACTCATACAAAACTTGCTTCTTAAGTATTACGATTTTGTGACGAGAGGTAGGGGGGGGGGAGGTCAAAATATGTCAAAAAATGCGTGACGTAATTTAAGAACGATCTACTGGTGAAACAATCCTCTTTAAAGATCACTTTGATGAAAGTATTAGCTACTGTTTCTCTTACGCGTAAAGTGCGACAGCATAAAGTAAAACTTTTCTTCATGCATAAACAATATTATGACTCACTTGTCAATAAGCCGTACCATGTTTTGAGCAGGTTATATTGTCAGTAAGATTTTTGCAAAAGTTTTAAGGTTATGAGTGCATCCAAGCTTTCCGACCTTCTGAGCTAGAACTCTAACCACACCGCCACGGCTGCTCATTATAATATAGGTTGTGCTTTATATATTAAATTTTTTTTTTAATTTTTATTTTATCACGACTGATTATAATATAAGTAGTGCTTCTAGAAACTTGTACAGCATTATTATTTACTGTTATACGTATGAAATTTTTATACGGATTTGACACTTATGAATATCAATAAATAAGTAGCATAATTTTTTTTACGTTATTTTACAAAATCTTTCGCTTAACAACTCTTGTATAGAGCACTTCTTTATGTAATGAGTATATAACTGCACATTTATAGAATGTACATGGTTCCTTTCAAATCCACAAAATAGGTTACAATTAATTATTTTTTTATGAAAAACATATATATTACCTAAAAAAATTAGTAACTTCGTTCCAATCATTTTTATTGTCTTGGTTTAATTCGGGCAAACTTCTGTAAGTGCTGAGTTGTGTTTTTGGTATATTATATGTAAGTACAGCAGAGATTTGGTTTTCAAGGATTTTGAAATAACAAAAGCCCAGTTTTTGGTTTCAAGAAACTTTTGTTTTAGGTAAAATCCTTTGTTGTGCGAAAAATCTTTCCGCGCCTTTCCCATTTTCACATTAACTCCTTTAGTTAAAATACATTTTGCAAAGTTTCCAGTTGTCCCGTGAAACCACGTCTCAACTCCTAAAAATTATATATATATATATATATATATATATATATATATATATATATATATATATATATATATATATATATATATATATATATATATATATATATATATATATATATATATTAGGTTGGTTGAAAAGTTCGCGGAGCGGCACCTATGTTGCAGTAGTAGAAACAAATTTATAACTGTATTAAACGTATTCATTCTTCGTATGAACGCATAAAAAATTTCAAGTCGATATGTCATTTCAGTCTTTGTTTACAAGCTATTGAAATTAGACGTGTCATAGTATTTTTTAAAATGGAAAATATTGAACATCGTGCTGTAATAAAATTCTTTGTGAAAAAAGGTTTAAAGCCCATGGAAATTCATAATGAAATGGTAAATGTGTTGGGTGATGATGCTCCTTCAAAAACAACAGTATGCAAATGGGCTGCGGAGTTTCAACGTGGGCGTTCAAGCCTTGAAGATGACCCTCGCTCTGGACGTCCAAAAAGTGCTACTACTGAAGAAACGATTAATGCTGTGCATGACATGGTTATGGATGATAGACGATTGACCAAACGTGAAATTGCTGAGGCTGTGGGCATCTCAGATGAACGGGTATTACACATCTTGCACGATGAATTACGTCTGAGAAAGCTGTTGGCAAGATGGGTGCCGCATTCGCTAACTCTGGATCAGAAACGCACTCGAGTAAAACTTTCTCAAGAACATTTGGCCCGTTTTCAAAAGAATAAAACAGATTTTGTGCGTCAATTCGTAACCATGGATGAGACTTGGGTTTACCACTATGATCCGAAGCTGCGACAACAAACTGCAGAGTGGACAGAACCCGGTTGTTCAGCTCCGAAGCAAGTGAAGGCGTCAAAATCGTCAAAGAAGGTTATGGCATCAGTTTTTTGGGAAGCGAAAGGAATTTTATTAATAGATTACCTTCAAACCGGTAAAACGATAACAGGTGAATATTATAAAAATCTTTTGGACCAGTTGGATAAAAAAATTCGTGAGAAAAGACCTGGTTTGCTGCATAAAAAAATCATTTATCACCAGGACAACGCACCTGCTCATATCAGCGATGTTGCAAAGGCGAAATTGGTCGAATTAAAGTACGAACGCTTGGAACATCCACCCTATTCACCAGATCTGGCTTCGTCCGACTTCCACCTCTTTCCACATCTCAAAAAATTTCTACGTGGAAAGCGTTTCTCATCACATGAAGAAGTCATTGCAGCCGTAAATGGGTATTTTGAAGGCCTTCCGGAATCGCACTTCAGAGATGGGATACATGAATTGGAGAATCGTTGGAAAAAGTGTATTGCTCTTAAGGGAGAATATACTGAAGAATAAAGTCATTTTTTGAATCATAAAATTGTTTTTTCATTTCCGCTCCGCGAACTTTTCAACCAACCTAGTATATATATATATTTATATATCAATCATATATCAATCATATATATATTCTGAAAATTAATATTCAGAATTAAGTTTCAGAATATATATATGATTGATTATATATATATATATATATATATATATATATATATATATATATATATATATATATATATATATATAAATATATATATATATATAAATATATATATATTTATATAAATATATATATTTATATAAATATATATATATATTTATATATATATATATATATATGCATATAATGCAGAGTTCCCCTAGGTTTCATTCTGGGTCTTCTTTTATTTCTAATATATATCAACGATCTTCCAAAAGCCCTAAAAAAACTTGATGTAATAATGTTCGCTGATGATACAAATTTATTTCATTCATCGCCGTCTATAAGCGACATTTATGAATCTATGAAAACTGACCTCGAAAACCTCAACCTCAACCTCTTATATGTAAAAATATGTAATTTTGTTTTATTGAAATATATACGGATACTTGTGTTGTAATATATATATATATATATAAATATATATATATATATATATATATATATATATATATATATATATATATATATATATATATATATATATATATATATATATATATATATATATATATATATATATATATATATATATATATATATATATATATATATATACATATATATATTGAGTTTTGAGATATAATTTTTTTGTTGATGACAAAATTGAATCTCAAAATACGTAAAATTGCATAAAAAATAAGTTAAGATAAATTTAAAAAGTTAATGATAAAATCAAAAATAATGAGGAAAAACAAAACTGTGGCTTGCGGTAACCTAGTAGAAGGGGATGGAAAGAGATTTTAAAGGGCCTTTTTTTTAATTTAATGGGCTTCATTCGCAAATTTAAGGAGCTTATTTTTTTTTCAATTAGTAATACTAAGTGCAGAAACGTAGCGATGGGCCCGTAGCCGCCGGAGGGCCTAGACTAATTAGGGAGCCAAGCCATAATTTTCAAATATATTTAACTACATTTTTGCTACTGTTGTATAGCTAAGAGTTACAAATTCTTAGCTATACAATATGTAACATATGTAAAGAAAATAAAGCTTTTGTTTTCATGTATAATTTTTTTTTGTTTTGAGGGGGAAGGGGAAGAGAAATAATTTAGTGGCCCGGATTAAAATTTTTCGGGGAGGCCTATTTTCTGTTGCTACGCAACTGACTAAGAGAAAAATATTTTATGATTTTATTTGGGAGTAGGCCTCTGACTTACTAGCTACAGCACTGACTAAATTTAGAATAATAAAACATTAAAAAACACAAATTGTAATACCTAACGACAAAGTTTTTTGAATTTCTTTAATTTTATTTAGAATTTCTGTTTCTGATGAACTCGAATTAAAGTTCCATATAGCAATTTCATTATTGGGGTGGTTTAAATATCTTGAGGAGTTTAAGTTGATTGTAAACTCTGCATTTTCCGGACCTTCAAAGGGAAAATTTGAACAAGAAATCATATCTTTGTTTTGAAGTTTTCCGTCTAAATACAAGCTAACCCAATTTTGTAACGAACAATGTGTTATTTGTTTATCAATAATTTTTTCAATTTTTTTAGCTTCAATAGCTGAAAAACCAACGTCTTTCATAATGTCGACTAGCTCTATACTTGACCAAGCAAAATCTTTGATTGAATTAAGCTTCTCTTCTATATTCTCCCTTATAACATTTTCAACCATAATATGCTGAATATATTCTTCATCAGTCTCAAGTATTTCATTAATAAAGTTTTCATTTAGATCGATATTGATTACAGACGCAATCTCATCTGAAAAATAAAATAAGTTAGAGTTGTTTTAACCAAAAAAAATAATCTAAAACATTTTAAATATAGAAATATACAAGAGTTATAGAATAACACTTATTGTAAGAATGCATGTTATTGCAAAACTACCTTAAGTTGTTTTGTGTTTATACCAATGATATATATATATATATATATATATATATATATATATACATAGATATCTAACTCCGTAAAAATTCCTTGATATAGTATGAGGCAAATTTTTTCGGCGGAAGCCATATTGAATACTGGCAAAACATCGTAAATAAGCGATGAAGCTTTGACTTGGTTTTACAAGAAACTTTATACTACCTGACCTGTTTAAATTTATTTATTAAAAATGAAACAAAATAATCTTAATAGTATAGTTAATGTTGAAGAAGAAGTAATGTTGTTTTGAATTACTTTATCTGAAATTGAATTTAATTACTTTATCTGGACGTTATTTTTATAATTGTAAACTTAAAGTAGTTGATGTTACTTTAAAGTTATAGTTTTAAAAATAAGTTAACTACCTTAAGAAGATGCTGCTATTTCTGACATACTTTGAAAAAACTGGACATGGATTAGATTGAGGAGGTATTAATTAAATACACTATTACCAGTAAACAATATATTAACTGTTAATAATAGTATTCCCATATATATATATATACATATATATATATATATATATATATATATATATATATATATATATATATATATATATATATATATATATATATATATATATATATATATATATATATGTATATATATATATATATATATATATATATATATATATATATATATATATATATATATATATATATATATATATATATATATATATATATATATATATATATATATATATATATATATATATATATATATATATATATATATATATATATATATATATCAGGGATGTACACTCGTGGTCGCCCGATGGCACCAGGCGACCGAATATTGTAAAGGGCGACTCAAAATATTTTTTTTATGCAATCAAGTCGCCCGAAAGGGCGGCTATTGATTTTTATCGGCAGTTCTATTTTTGTGTGTGTGTAATTTAAGAGATTTAAAATATGCAAAGTAACTAATGCAATAAGTAACTAAAATAATAATAAAATTTTAAAAGTCATAATGCTAAAGTTTGTTTACCACATTTCCTATTGCTAATTAGAAAATACAAGTAAAATAAAAAAAAAAAGGTTTTATCGTTTAAACATTCTTTTTTTTTAATTTAATTAAATTTTAGAGATATGTAATAATTTAAAAGATAAGTAATAGAAGTAAATTTGTCCAGTTAGTCAAAACTCTACATATACCGAAAAAAAAATAAAAAAAAATTTAAAGAAATGACTAATGACTCTAGATCGCGTCTGGAAAGGCAATTTAACTAGTACTTTAAAAACTAGTTACTACTGATAATGGTAGGTTTAATTACGGATGGCGCTAATGTTTTAACTGGATGGAGACATAGTGTTCAGCAACAGCTAGTAGGTGCAACAATTTTCTCACTTACAGTGTCGCACCGATTGCAGCTGGCACTGAAAGATGCAGCCAGCACTTCAAAGGAACTCCAAATTCTGCAGCTATTTTGTGAGCAACTCTTCATTTTTCATCGAAATTCTACTATTATATCAGCGGTTTATTGTAACGCACGCAAAGTTTATGGTGTAAAAGGTATTTTAAGAAATAAGTCTTGTTATATTGATAATATCTTAACATATTTTTATATTAATTAATTTAGGCAATTTTATATTTATTTAATTTTATAAAGTTATAAACTTTAGAAATAAACAACTAAAAAAGTATATATAATTAGGTAATATGTGAGTTTATTGTAATATATACTAATGTTATTGTTATTAAACGTTTTAGAAGTATAAACTTTGCGATAACTACCATTCAATAATCAAAGTAAAATGTTTACAAAAGATAAAAAGTTCTTTATAAACAGATTATGTTGCGCTTTTTTTTGAACTATTTAAATTAAAAGTCTATTAAAATTTTCTTGAAAGAACAAATTCATTCGAATTTTATAATTATATTTTGTTGCTCTTATACTTAGAGTTTTTTCAGAATAAGAATATTTTTTCTAATTTATTATTTCCTAAATGTTTATTGATTAAAATTTAATTTTTCAAAATAAAATATAAAAATTATGAAGTATGAAGTATGAAGATCGAGTTTTTATTACTACATCCATGCAAAAGTGCATTTTGAAACGATATTCAAATGTATCAGATGTCTTTGCGGAGGCGGACGAGTTGCTTAACACAGTTGAATGGACGGAGAGCGACTTTTTCACGGCTGAAAACAACAAAAAGTTACATAAAACATGCTAGACAATAACATAAAAGCCTTTATTGACGACGATATACTTTGCAACAACTCGAATATAAACGAGTTGATGTTGGAAATATTTTATTAGAGTGGATAATATTGAAGAAAATAATAGCAACTTGGACAAGTGCAAGTTCAAAATCATTTCCACCGCTATCTATATAAATCTATATAAACCAGATAGATTAGCGAATCTATCTATATAAACCAGATAGATTTGCTAATCTTTTTTCTCTGATTGATTTTTTATTTTGCCATAGCTTAAGTTCGGCAGACACTGAAAAAGGCTTTAGCGCAATGAAAAACATTAAATCAATTCAAAGAACACGAGTCAGTAACAAGTTATTAACGATCGTATAATTCCAGAAATAGAGTTATACGATCCAACAAAAGCCATTAAACACTGGCTTTTAAAACCATCACGAAAAAAAAAAACTAGCATTATTCAAAAAAGCTTTACATGGACAACAAAACTCCAGTTGTGTCAGTTAAAAAGTCAAAGAAAATACAGATTTTTGCTAGTAGCGATGATGACAGTGATAGAGCTGTAACAATTGATGACGATATATAATAATTTTGAGTCTTAAATGTTTTTTACCTTTCAAAATATAAATATTTATTCTTGTAACAAATAAGATCGTAATAATTACAAAAGCAAAAGGATTTTAAAGTATTTGTACATTGTTTTTTATATTTGTCAACAGTTTTTTGTTGTAATCGAACGTCTATTTTTTTTATAAAATGAGCGCTCAAATAAAGTTTAAAAATATAATGGCATGTGTTTTTTTTTTTTAAGTAGAAAAGTGAATTTTATTAACAGTTTTCAATATTACTTTTATTTGCGCATATTGTTTCTAGTGCACATTTAGTCATATAACAAAAAACGACTAAAACATGCGAGAACTTCGCTAAGTGGAAATTTAAAAAAAAAAAGGCAACGGGCGACTCAAAACGTCGGCGGGCGACCAAAATTAACAAACTGGTTAGTTTCAGTCGTCCTTCTGGCGACTGACCAAAAGTCCGAGTGTACACTCCTGTATATATATATATATATATATATATATATATATATATATATATATATATATATATATATATATATATATATATATATATAACAACAATTATAAATGTATTCTATAAAATAGAGTGCTCAATGTTCTTAAAAGAACAGAGCAATAACAAATTATTAGAAATCACTTATCAATTTCAATTTTTTACACAATGTTTCGTCAATATTTCTGAAGAGTCTTTATTGACGAAACATTGTGTAAAAAATTGAAATTGATAAGTGATTTCTAATAATTTATATATATATATATATATATATATATATATATATATATATATATATATATATATATATATGTATATATATATATATATATATATATATATATATATAATGTATGAATAAACATTATTTTATATAAATATTATACATGTGTATGCACACATACACACATAATTATAAAAACACACATACACATATGTAAATATATACATATATAATATACACATATATAATATTTATATATAATAGAGTGTTTTTTTTGAAAATATAGAATGTATTTAAAAACAAAACAATTTGCATTATCTCTAAAACTAAAAAATCTGAGTTCCTTTTTAACTAAAAAAAATATTTATATGCCTTTAAATAAAATTATTTTATTAAACTGCTGACGTAAACCAATTTTATGTTTATGTAGAATATCGTTAGTATACTGTTTTCCATAACGAAATAAACGAATGGAGAGATATTTATCAATTATCTTTTTTAATAGTTGAGAGGAGTGCATATCTTCAGTTAAAATCTCATGATCTAAATCATGCTCGTTTAGTTCAGGAAACATCTTTTTCACATGCAAGCTCTTGATTAATTTTGTAAACCATTAAGGATTTTAAGTTTTTTTGTGAATAAGTGGCTAAAGTTGAACTTATGCCTATAACGAAAACTCTAAATATTTTCTGACATTTTTCAATAATTTTAATAACACTAACAGATGGTATATTTAATCCACCAAGATTTTTTAAATTTATAAAAGATAAAGATGATGATTTGTAAAAGACTGTGTAGTCATAATCACGAACTAAATTATCTGGTTGGTTAAGTGCTTCAGCACATATGCAACAAGTTATTTTTTTTTTAAGAGTTTTAACAATGTAACCAGCTATATAACCAAGTATTGCTTGTTTGTATATCAATGTTGAAATCTTTTCTAGGCTATTTGATAAGTTTGCAATTATATTTTTATCTTCATCTTTTAATTCTGTTTCTATCATTGGAGATCTTGTTTTACTCCATTTCAATGAAAATATTGAACCAGCTAAATTTTTTTCAAAAGTGAGACAATTAGCATGCTTTGAACAAATCAAAAAGTTTTTTAAAAGAATTTTTTTGAAGCAAGCTTCAAAAACTTTAATTGTATAATATTAGGATTATTATTAAATTCATTTTTTTCCCTAATACAAGAAAACAACAGTTCTAAGTGATCTTGAGACACTTTATAGGTTAACACATATTTGAATGAACATTCGGATCTTGATAGTAAATTTATAGACATATTTTGGATACTAGTTGCAGCGACAATGAAACCAATAGCAAACGTTTTTCTTCTATATTTAAGAATTTTAGTCCCATCTTT